AAAGTTTTTTCATGAATATCAACAAACTGATTCTAAAGTTTATACAGAAAAGCAACAGACTCTGGATAACCGACAGAACACCGAACAAAAAGCAGCAGCCTGGGGGATTCTTTAGGGTCATGAAAACTATACTGCATGGCACTGTGTGGTGGATATGTGACAATATGCAATTCTCATCACATACAGAAATACACAACACAAAGAGGGCACCTTAATGTAAACAAATTGAATATTTATTTTCATTGTACTTGAAAGAAAGAGAGGCAGTGATATCAATTAGTCATGTGTGCACTGGTTCACTCCTCAAATGTCTGTAATAGCCAGGGCAAGACCAGGCTGAAGTTAAGAGCTACATAGGTAGCAGGGATCCAACTATATGAACCATCACCTGCTGCCTCCAAGGGTGTGCATTAGCAGGAAGCTGGATCAGAAGCAAAGAGCCAGGTTTAGGAGCAGGCATTCTGATATGGTGCAGGGGTATCCCAAGCAATGAAGTAAGAGCTACATCAAATATCTGCCCCCCCCCAAAATCAAATAAAAAAACATCATTTAGGAGTTTGAAATATCAGCAAAGCATACAAAAATAATTTAACAGTGTTACAAATGTATGATACAACCTCATATTGAAAAAGATGGGAGAATATGTTAATCATATTTGCAAAACAATGGAATCTAAGATAAAAAGCAAAAGGAACTGAACTTAAACACTATATGACAAAGATATTTCCTACACTGTACCAGTGAACAATTCTGACACTATCTGTATACAATTCCAGTATACTGTTAGACACATTTATTAGAACTGAAAAAATACTAGTGCTGTGGCTAATAGGTGAAGCATCTGCCTGCGGCACAGGCATCCCATATGGGTGCCAGTTCATGTTAAAGCTGCTACTCTTCCAATCTGCTTGGGAAAGCAGTAGAAGATGGCCCAAGTGCTTGGACCCCTGCACCCACATGGGAGACCTGGAAGAAGCTCCCAGCTCCCGGCTGTGGATCAGCCCAGTTCCAGCTGCTGTGGCCATTCAGAAAATAAACCAGTGGATGGAAGACCCCTCTCGTCTCTCCCTCTCTCCATCTGTAACTCTGCCTTTCAAATAAATATTTCTTTTTAAAAAAAGAGAAATGAACAAATAATAAAAGGCTGGTAGACAGTGGGAGTCAGATTCATCAATTAGTACAGGAAGATAGATAGAGATAAACAGGAGATGAGGCTACAATGATCCATATGGAAAAGGATTTGTACTTGGGGATATAAGTAAGAATTTTGGCTTAGCTTAGTATAGGTGGGGCCTTCAAAAACTTCATGGAAAATGCATATGATGAAAAAACTATGCACAGATTGCACAACTTTTTGTGCACCAAAATAAATTTATCTTTAATTCCATTTTCCCGTGAATTTTTTGAAATAGCCTCATAGGCACAAAGCTAAACACAGAAATATTTATAAATGTGCATAGATTCAGCTAAGTATACACCCATGCATTTCTTTGCTCTGTCAATTGAGAAGATCTAAAAAACAAATGACACCTCAGATACAACAAGTACACCTAGAATCCAGATTTTGTTCTAATACCATTTCATGATAAAAAAAAAAAAAAGGCTGATCCTAAGATTGGAGTAGGAAATATACAAGATTAGCCACCAGCAGCTTACAGTGCCAGAAAGAAAGAAGCACTAAGTTCATGACCATAATTACTATACTCCCCATGATGGTGGTGTAGTAACAGCCCAGGAATAAAATAAATACCAAGGAGTCCATATAGATTATAATGAATGACGGAATAAATCAGGAAATGATGGACACAATACCAGATGGATTATGGAGATACCATACTACAAAAGGAGGGGAAACCCAGTTCCCTACTCCTTAAGTGTAAACTGTACACAGCAGCTTCCTTTCAGAGAATGGTACAGAAAGATGGCTGGGAGCAATTTCATGGAGAAAGAACTTATCAAACACTACTTCAGCCGGGACATCAAAGTCAACATCGCCAGTCTTCATTACATAGAACGCATGTAATTGATATGATGAGAAAAAATAATCTTGCTACCCAAACCTCAAGCCCCAGTTAAGTTAAGGTAAATATATTAGACAAATTCCAATAAAAAATAGCATGCAATGTACCGGGATGGTATTCCTCAAAATTTTCAGTATCTTCAAGAACAAGCACAGTCTGAGAAATTGTCACAGCCTACAGAGTTCTGACAACTAAATGCAACTTGTTATCTTGATGGCATCATCAAGCAGAAATAGCAGGCTTGGTGAAAACTGAAGATATTTGAATAAACTCAGTGGACAGGTGCCTGAGTGGTTAAGATGCCCATGTCCCACATTTGAGCGCCTGGCTCTGCTTCCTGAATCCTGCTTCCTACGAATGAGCATCCTTAAAGGTACTGGTGATGGCTCAGGTGGTAACTGTGTTCCTGCTGCCCACATGGGAGACCTGGCTTGAGTTCTTAACTCGTGCATTTCTCCAGATCTCTCTGCCTTTCAAATAAAGAAATATGTTGTTTTAAAAAGACATGTGAATAAACTACGGACTATAATTAATAATAAAATATCATTATTGGTTCACTGATTGCAACAAACATAGCGTATTAATAGAAGATTTTGCTAAGAAATGAAATGGTATATGGACAGGCCATACACTGGAATTCTGTACTATCTGCTTAATTTTTCTGGAAATTTAAAACCATTATAAAACTAACAATCTATTAATTTAAAAGGTAACTGTAAATTAAACTACTGAACCATGGCCACAGTGTAGAAGATCTGGCAGCCATTTCTTTCAAATACATAAATGACAGCAGACAGGCTTATACTATAACGTTATGTGAAATGTAGAAGATGCAAAATAGTGTAAAAAGTATAAAGCTAATCATATGAAATGAACATAACATGTAAAAGTAAAAATAAAAAGAAATACTGGCCGGCATTGTGTGTGTATGTGTTCCCACATGTGCACATATAAGGCTGATATCCTATATCAGAGTGTCAGTCTGAGTCCCAGCTGCTCTGCTGCTGATCCAGGTTCCTGCTAATGCACCTGGGAAGGCAACAGAAGATAAGCTCAAGTGCCTGGACCCTGCCACCCATGTGCAAAACCAGGATGGACTGCCGGACTTGGCCTCTCCCAGAACTGGCTGTTGTGACCATTTTGGGAGTAAACTAGTGGATAGGAGACCTGTCTGTCCCTCTCTCTGTTGCTCTGCCTTTCAAGCAAGAAAACAAATAAGTAAATCTTGTAAAAAGAGAAATACATCATAAGGTTAGGAGTCATATCACAAATCTATGATTCCAAGTAATTTTTGTTTTATTCTTTATTACTTTTTTAAAATAGTAAGACCAGATTATTATTTTTTATTTTTTATTTAATTTGTCAGATAAAGTTAGACAGTGAAGGAGAGAGACAGAGAGAAAAGTCTTCCTTCCGTTGGTTCACCCCTCAAATGGCTGCTACGGCCAGAGCTATGCCGATCGAAGCCAGGAGCCAGATACTTCTTCCTGGTCTCCCACATGGGTACAGGTGCCCAAGAACTTGGGGCATCCTCTACTGCCTTCCCAGGCCACAGCAGAGAACCAGACTAGAAGAGGAACAACTGGGACTAGAACCTGGTGCCCATATGTGATGCCAGCACCGCAGGTGGAAGACTAACCAAGTGAGCCCCGGCGCCAGCCCCAACCAGATTATTTTTTAATATCAGCGGAAACCCTACCATATCACAAAGACACATATACACAAAGGACTGTCTGGGCCCTCTCCATGAGTATGGCGGGGAGATATATGATCACCAAATGTGAAAAATCCATGGCTAATAAGATTATTTTGAAAATTCCTTCCAATTCAAAGATCATGAGAACCGCCTAAATATTAGTCAAAATTCATGTCACAGATAAGTATCTAGTAGTAACTAGAAACATCTGATTCTCACGTGACCTCCCAATACACTGGTTAACATTTAGTGTTTAAGATACTCATGATTTACCAGTGCCCTAACAGACTAGAATCAAGTCCATCTCAGTGTTACACAGTATTCCTGCAGTATATTTCTGGTGAAAAGTACATTTTTACATGTCACTGTATAGCTGTTTTAAATTTCCTTGTGATTGAAGCAGGAGGCATGTTGTGTGCAATATGATATCCAGGCTAAAAAAATGAACAATTATTTCAATAGGAGTTAGTTCAATAGTTAAGTATCTGTAACATAGAGGATGACTGCCAATTATGGAAAAGGTTGTACCATTTACATTTTTTATTGGTTTGTTGGCTTTAATTTTAAAATTAGTCCATGTGGGTATCACCTGCAGGCTCCACAAAGTAAATTAAAGATATTTAGAGGTGAAATCCTCAAAGGAAAAATTCTTAGAAGATGAACAAACAGGGAATTAAACAAATCTAACAGCATTAGAAAGTCACTAATTTTTACATATGCACTATGTCCAACCATATTCATTTTTAACTGTATGAATGAAAAGTAGGCCTAACTATTGAAATAGGATAAAATATTAAATAAAATGTAATAAAATCGTAAAATTATCCTGAGGGAAGAAAATACTGAAGACGCACAAAGTAGAGTTGTAGATACTTAACAAGTATGTGACTCTTCTGGGCTGTGTTGTCACATGCTTTTCTTAAAACCTATTTTTTTAAAAAATATATTTTACTTCTTTGAGAGGCAAAGCAATAGACAGAGAGGAAAAAATATATCTATTTGCCACATGGGTGGCAGGGGCCCAAGTACTTGGGCCATCTTGGACTGCCTTCCCAGGCACATGAGAAGGAAGCTGGAACACAAGCAGAGCAGCCTAAGCTACTGCACGAAACCCCAGCCCCTCTGGAATCTTTCCAGTTCCTCTCAACCGTGGCTTCCTCATGTGTGACAATAAGGAATGTATCACTACGGGAGGAGAAATCAAAACCTAGAACACTAAGTACCAAGCAAGTCAGCACAATCAAGAGGCTACAGGGACGCCTCCATTTCTTTCCAGTCTTTACCTTCCGGTTCGTTTTTGATGAGCTCTTCCATTTTCCTCTGCTTCAAGGTGTCCACAACGTCCGCTAAGCTGCCCTTGCGTCGCTCGGGGGTCCCGAGGGCCGTGCTGGACAAGGCCTCGCCACTCTGCCGCCCACCTTCTTCTGCCTTCTGAGGTGAGGTAGATGAGTTGTGTGGGGCAAATGAAGACATAACTTTATTGCCATCAACTTCCTGGAAGAAAAAAAAAATCAAAGGAAAAAAAATTTTTTCTTGGTCATTTACCATGCAGTATTTTTTTTTTCAATCGGTTATGTGGCATATTCAAGTGAAACATTAAGGAGAAAAAGTGAACTTTCTCAGTCTGCAAGAGCATAAGGAACAAAGAAGTTCAGAAAAAGAATAAATTAACTTTACAGCTGAGGTTCCATTCAGGGCAGAAATCAAAAATATAGGAATTCTCTCCTCTGATTAGAGTTTTACATTGATTAGATTTTTTTAAAATTTTATTTGAGGATCTCAGATTTTCCCATGAACATTGTTAAATGGAGTGGCCCTTCCTATCCCAGTTCTTCATGACACTAATATTTCAGCAATCAACACTGTATATACTTGATGTTCAATTATCGTCCTGATAGCACTCCTAATGCAAGTAGGTCCTCTCCGACTCCTCCTTCTGCTCCATGAGCGTTAGAGGAAGTGCAGCCACACAGGTTATCTGGGGATCAGACAAGAGCACGGCAAGTCCATTTCTGCCTACACTTCAGATATTGAAAATCCTACTTGTTACTCAAGCCCCGTAACTGTCAATATTCTTTGCTATTCAGCATCTTAACCCTCATTTGCCTGTAAAATACAATTTCTCACAATTTTTTTAAGATTTATTTATTTATTTGAAAGCATTACACAGAGAGAGAAGAAGAAGCAGATGGAGAGAGAGAGAGAGAGAGAGGTCTTCCATCTGCAGGTTCACTCCTCAACTGGCTGCAATGGTTGGCGCTGGGCCAATCCGAAGCCAGGAGCCAGGAGCTTCTTCCAGGTCTCCCACGTGGGTGCAGGGGCCAAATCACTTGGGCCATCTTCCACTGCTTTTTCAGAACACGGCAGAGAGCTAGATCAGAAGTGGATCAGCGGGGACTGGGTCCGGCGCCCATATGGGATGCCGGCACTGCAGCTGCAGGCAGTAGTTTTACCCACTATGAAACAGTGCTGCCCAACCCCCCCTCTGTTTTTAAAATAAAATAAGTGTGTGTGTATGAAAAGAATTCACCTCATTATTCTGAAACTGAAATATACATCTGTGTTCTATTGCCATCATTTTCCCTACAACTTCTAGCACAACTCTGCTCATCTGTGTAACATGTAGGCTCTATTTTGTAAAACAGATGAGTTTTCATCGAAATCTATTTGCATGTGTATATATTTAATAATCAGGATAGATTGCAACTGATTACACTTTTTTCCATACCTATTTAAGACACGTTACTAGGATTCTTTAACTCTAAAAAAGTGACACATCACTTTAATTGATATATAATGTTTCTAAGGTAACTCTAGTAGTTTTGCTACTATAAAGTAGCAAGATTGGGCTAGCACTCTGGCACACCAGTTTAAATCCTGGCCTGCAGTGCCAGTGCCAGCATCATATATGGGCACTGCTTTGAGCTCTGGCTGTTCTAATTCTGATTCAGCTCCCTGCTAAGGTGTCTGGGAAAGCAACAGAGGGTGGCCCAAGGCCTTGGGCCCCTGCACCACGTGGGAGACCAAGAAGAAGCTCCTGGCTCCTGGTTCCAAATCAGCTCAGCTCTGGTTGTCGAGGCCACCTGGGGAGTGAACCAATGGATGGAAGACCTCTCTCTGCTCTACCTCTTTCTGTAACTGTCTTCCAAATAAATAAAATAATCTTTAAAAAATAGCAATATCAACATAAACATAATCCATTAATATTTTAACTAATGATATTATCGAGTTCAGGGATATTAGCATCAAACTTGAGTTTGCTGGATGGGGCTGAGTTGTGTGGGTAGACAAAAGCAAAAACTGCACAGCAACAGAATCTTTCAAATTATAACTCTAAATTCCAAACGGTTTCTGTTTCTTATAAACATTACAAAATACGCCTCTGACTAGCACTATGCCTTAACTGGATAATCTATGGACAATTTAGCTTAACGTATACTTGGGTTTAGAAATCAATATGCACAATGTAATAATTACAACCCCCTGCAGGAATGCTTCTGAAATTATTTATTTATTTAAAACCCACACATAAATATCAGTAAAGATGTAAACATATACATGCTCTGAAAAATAACAGAAATTCATTTTGAAAACAAAAAACGTGTGTTTTTCTGCATGGCCTATAATCCACCTGAGCTTTAGTTTCACATGCAGTATCTACTTTAGTAGAATTTCTGTATTCTTTTCCAAAGAGCAAAAACCACCAGATGTTAGCTTCATTTTGAATGTTTCCATTTGTATTGTTATCACATTATAAATTGACAAACTTTGTTTTAAAGATTTGGTTATTTATTTTGAAAGAAAGACAGAGGAAAAGAGAGTGAGAGTGCGAGACAGAGAGAGAGAGATCGATCTTCTATCTGTTGTTTCACTCCCTGGATTGTCCTAAAGGACAGGGCTGGCCAGGCCAAAGCCATGAGTCACAGCTTCATGCAAGTCTCCCACTTGGATGGCAGAAGACCAAATACTTGGGCCATCTTCTGTGTTGCTTTTCCCAGGCCATTAACAAGAAGCTGAATCTGAAGTGGAGTAGCTAGGACTTGAACCAGTGACCATATGGAATGCCAGAGTCACAGGCTGCAGCTTTACCTGCTATGCCACAACACTGGCCCCGGTGACAAACCCTGAAAACAAGAGTTTGGAGCTGCATCTTCCTATCAAATCAACACTGGAAGAAATGGCATCCAAATATGGATGAAATCTAATCTATTAAGATACTAGAAAATATTTCCAAATAAAATATCCCAACTGGCATTTCTCTAACTTCCTATACTCTGCAAAGAGGAAGACAGTATTTTAAAGAGATGAACATATTTCACTAGAGTTCTAAAGTCAGTTGTTACAGCAGCTTAAGAATAAATCAATTAAACGTTATTGCTATTACACACAGGAATATTTTTCTCATCACTATTTCACCTGTCTGCAATTCAGCCTCTGGCACTGTTAACCCCTTTAACAGTTTGGTGTAGTTAACAGCTGTCTCAGTGTGGGATTCCATTGTTCATTTGCATGGTGAGTAACTTGTTAAAACGTGCTGGCACAGTCTCCAGTCAAAGAAGTCCTGAAAATTTCAGAGTGTCTTCCCTGGAATTGCATTTTCCATACTTGAAATTGTGTCTTCATTTGTTAGCAGGTGAATCAAGGGCATTGACTCACAATGGTGTAGGTGGTACAGAACAGAAATAAATGTTTAACCAAGTTTTGTGAAATCTAAGGAGAGAAGCTGCAGTATTTTGCTGACAAGCTCCCAGAACTGGGATATAAATTTCTAAAGTCTATTGGCAACAGAGTTCCAAACTTTCAGAATGAACTTGACAATCCTTTTTATTGTTTCTTTAACAAAAAAATATTCGAGAGGCACAGACAGAGAGGGACAGAGAAAGACCAACAGACAGGCAGAGCTTCAGTGAACTGATCCACTAACAAAATACCCACAGTGGCCAGATGGGAACAGGTCAAAGAGAGGAGCTGAGAATTCAAACCATGTCTCCCTGAGAAGTGCCCAGGATTCAACCACTTCCTGTTCTCATTAGCAGGAAGTTGGAATTGGGAGCTGGGCTGGGGCTTGAACCACGGGACTCTGATACAGAATGCAGATGCCCCAGTTGGTGTCTTGAGGATTATTCTAGCCCTCCTTTGTTACTCTAAACTAGTTTGTTTAATCTTGCCCTCTGTGTCACCTTTGCTACCAAGAGGAAAAGGGAAGGTCTGCCTAACCTACCTATCCTCATCGAAGGCCATCATCTCCAACACTGGCATCCCACATGGGTGCCTTTCCTGTCCTGGCTGATCCACTCCTGCTCTAGTTCCCCCCTAACGTCCTGGGAAAAGCAGCACAAAATGGTCTAAGTGTTTGGGCCCTTGCCACCCACATGGAAGACCACTATAAAGCTGCTAGTTCCAGGCTTCAGCCTGGTCCAGTCCTGGCCCCTGGACCATCTGGAGAGTCAACCAGTGGATGGAAGATTTGTCTGTCTCTCCTTCTCTGCAACTCTTTCAAAACAAATAAATTAATCTTTTTAAAAAGTATTCTCTTGAATTCATTCTACAGAGAGCATTTTGGTACAAACACACGGAGAGAAAGAGTACACCAACCTTAATATTTAAATTTTCATTTAGATAATGTGATTAAGAATTAACTCATTTGAGAAATGATAATATGCAATTCAACCATGTACTTGCATGTTTCTTTCCTTATTAAAATGACATTTCACCCTCAACTTATAGACAAAGAAATGCATTATTGTGTTTACTTTTAAGTCCTACAAACTGAAATTCATACTGGATAGTAAAAATATTACATCTGATAATCTATAAGACTACAATCGGTAATAATAGCAAACAGTTATTGAATGCTTACTTTGTCTCAAACTTTGTTCACTGTATCCTATACATATAAACTCGATTAATCCTCATGGCAAGCTAATTATGTTTCTCAATTCACAGCTGGAGAAACTGAGGCGTGCAGACTGAAGTAAATGCCTGAGGTTGCATGACTAATAAAAGGTAGAGCAGAAAATTGATCCAACCTCATGGGTTCCAGAGGCCCTGTTTTTGACCACAGTGCTTATACACCTCTTATAAAAATAAAAACAAAAATAAATATGTCTTTATCTAGCAATATCGTGGGGGACCAAGGGCTTCTACCTCCACTTGTTGAACTCCTAAAGGAAAGTAATGATATAATTACACTTAAATTAAGCTAACTACATTCCAGACACATAAATCTCTATCAATCCAATCAGCCACTGTTTCAGATCATATTCCAAAAACTAAATCCAACACACAGATTCATTTCAACGTTGTTAATCACAATAATGATACCCAGTAGTTTAAGGCTTTTTAAAATTATATTTATGAACTTTGTGGTTATCTCTAACGTCTTTTCTAACATAGTCGTTAATTTAGAACAAAGCTAGTGAGAATATCTGAAATGTAATTAATTCGAATCTATTAATGAAAATTCATTAATTTTGGTATTGCATAGACATAGC